ATATTCGTATGTTCTCTGATTTAATTTCCATGGATTTGAAGTTTGAGGTATGATTCGTCGTGAATGAAATTTTGATTTGGCAAAATGAATTTGTTAAAGATCTAAATAGTCATAGGGATGACTTTATTCTTTTAAACCTAATTAATTCCATCCAAACCCAGAAAACTCCCTGAGGATTCCCTTTATGGCCATAATATGGCTCATGTACAAGAATTTGTGTGGAACCAGACCTTAACATCCTAAGCTGACGATTATAAAAACATAGGTAACTGATTGTGAGTTTGACCATTCCATGGGACCTATAGAATTTTATTGAAGGAGTGAATGAATTTTTCAGTGTCGGATCTAGTTTAACATGTGGGTTGCAAGAAACGATTTTTATGACGATGTTGACGGAATTGCTTGGCTTGATAGTATTATTGGTTTGGTGCAAATGTAAATGAAGGTGATTTATAAAGTACTTGTATAAAAAAGGGTAGTTTAGGATTCTTGAGGAAAAAATCTAACTTATTGGGTCTATATTATTACATGAATAGTAAAAACAAGGGAGCTAGGTGTAATTTATAAAACTTGAGGAGAGCTCTTTGTAATTGTCCTAGAAAACGTGGACGTGATTAGTAATATAACATTTTTAAATATTTTTGAGATTTTTTTTTCCTTTTCCATTTAGTGTGGAATTCCAAAACACTTATTTACGTTGATTAATTTGGATTATTAGAAAATTTGGCAATGCGAAGTGGCTTAATCGTAGGCATAAGAAAATAATAGTTGTTGAAGATGCGTACCCCCCCCCCCCCCAAAAAAAAGTAAATTGATATCAGATGAGGATGAGGATTATTTAACATACACGATGGGCATCAAATGGGAAGGGAAGGATATGTCTTGTTATAATGAGGATAAAAACCTTTCAGACAGTTGTAGAATAAAACATGATAAACATTAAAAAGAAAACTTTAAAACTTTCCATTCAATAAAAGCCCAATTTTACCTAAAAAAAAAAACTTTTTGCTGTTATTTTAAAAATATTTATATATATAAAAAAAAAAAAAACTTTGATGTTGTTGGCTTTTATTTCTTTTTAATTTTTTTGATAATGCAACCGCTTCCAAGATTATAGCACTGATGCAAGTCGTATATTGCAATTGGCTTACAGGATAATTATTGGCTCAGAAGGTTATCAACAATGAACAGAGCACAAATGCGTTCTCATTTGCTCGTAATTTCGTGATTCGACAACTAAAAAGACAATCGAGAGCCCTTTTTTTTGGCTCATTTTATTCGTTTCTTAGTACAACATCAACGTTATTAAGTTGAAAAGGCTAAACCAGGCATCAAATCCTCGGTCGCGAACATTCGGTCGCAATCTAGTTGTGAATGTAAAGGACCATTTCATGTTAAATTCACTAATCTCGTCACGTGACAATTTTTTTTTAATTTTACATGTGACCTGATTTAGTGGAATCCACATTGCAGTGTGTCATTTGAGCGACTGACTGAATTGGAATCGAAAACTTCGGTAACTGAAGATTTGAAGCCGGCTGAACCTATGAAACAGCCCAACACTACCTGTTGAAAAGACCTTTGATTTTTCAACTTTACAAGCCAAAAACAGACATGTCGGAACTTGTTCAAATGTTTTTAATTGTTACTAATCAGCCAAAAAAAAAAAAATGAAAGACTTATATTAAGTGCAGGCAAATGCCGTTGGTCTCTGTACTCACCCGCTATAAAACTGGAAACCATTTTTGCCCAACTTGTAAAGCAATAATCAAGCAGCCTAAATCATTGATTCGAAAAGTTGCAGGAATGGAAAGAGTGGAGGATCTTACTGAGCTTCTTGCAGCTCAACATCATGTAGGCAACCAAATGCTCAACTTCAGAAAGTCTGCATCTCTAAAATGTGCAATTGAACTGGGAATCCCTGATGCCATCAATCAACATGGGAAGCCTATCACACTTTCTGAGCTGGTTTCTGCCCTTCCAATTAACCCTTCGAAGGCTAACCACATCTATCGCTTGATGCGATTCTTATCAAATGCCGGCTTCTTTGTTCTACAAGATCAAGGCTATGCCCTCACAGCTGCAGGCCGTCTTCTTTTAAAAGAGGAGCCTTTCAATTTAAGGGCATTTATCTTTTATATGAGCGATCCTGTTTTAGTGAAGCCCTGGAATTCCTTGACTGAGTGGTTCAGGAATGATGATCCCTCTCCATTTCATACGGCGCATGGGAAAAACTTCTGGGCTTATGCTGCTGAAGAACCTAATTTTGCAAACCTCTTCAATGAATCCATGGCCAATGATTCTACTTTAATCGTTCAGGTGATGATGACCGAATGCAAGTTTGTGTTTGACGGCTTGACATCTTTAGTGGATGTTGGGGGTGGCACAGGGGCAGTTGCTAGGGCCATTGCCCAAAATTTCCCCAACATGGAGTGTGTTGTGTGTGATCTCCCACACGTGATTGCCGGCCAAGAGGGAACTGAGAACTTGGACTTTGTTGCAGGAGATATGCTAGAGAAGGTACCTGCTGCTGATGCAATCTTGCTCAAGGTAATTAAGGACATTTTCTATGAAATCCGTTGTTGATATACATGTCTACAACGATTTCAATAAACTAAAATATAAACAATTGAACGTCCAGCTTTAATAGTTGATTTGTATGATCGCTAACATAGACGCCTGTTGTATGAAAGAATAACAGTAATAATCATATGCAAACTTTTTGCTTGAGAGGCTAGAATATTTGCTATAGAAACTGGAGTTCTTGGCGCTCGTTAATCGATGCGTGAGGCAGTGATGGAGTGTGATAATCTTAATTTAGGACGCCAACACAGCTAATTTCTGTATTCTAAATTTTGTGATTTTACTGGAAAACAGTGGATTCTTCATGACTGGAGTGATGAAGATTGTGTGAAGATTCTCAAGAACTGCAAAGAGGCTATTCCAGGGAGAGACAAAGGGGGAAAAGTCATTATTATCGACATGATTATGGAAAGCCAGATGAAAGATGACGAGTCAGTTGAAACACAAGTTGGTGTGAACATGCAGATGTTGATGGGTTACGGTGCTAAAGAAAGAAGTGAGAAAGAATGGGCAAAGCTTTTCCAAGATGCTGGTTTCAGTGACTACAAAGTACTTCCATTGTTGGGTGTGTGCTGTCTCATTGAGGTTTATCCTTAGACTAAAAGTTCAGAATTTGTACTGCTACAATAATTGAGGTTTCAGTTTTACCCTCAACCTTTGTCTCCCACGGTTGGAATATCCTTTGCTCTGCCAGTAATCGCCACTTTGGCAATAGAACTATTCTGTTTTCTGTGCATCTTGCAATTTGTGGAGTGTGATCATCATTGTTCAAAATTGTCAGTATGATTAATTGATTACTGAGGGATGAAGTTCTATCCTCAGGCTCTGTGTCTGTCTTTTGTTCATCGCTTGACATGTGTAACTAGATGATTTACATCTAAGTTGAGACAAACTTAAAGCCAAACATCAGGAACCATGCAATACAACTAGATGATTTACATCTGTAAACCTGTATCAGAGAAACTCGCCTATCAATGTCTATAACTAAGTTGGATTAGACGAATCAACAAGAGTCATTTCTAGTATCTATACATCTGTACAATACATAAGGTGGAAGCACAATGTATAAATTGGGAGCACCCCTGCATAGTCTTCTATAATAACAACCACTTTTCATAATTGTATAGTGCTATTGTCAAAGCCTATACAATTGAAAATTCATAATTGTTACCATCACGAATTTTGAATTTATTTCAAGTTATTTATGGAAGTTATTTCAAGAATAAATTCTTCCTAAATTTGCAACAAAAAAAAAAAGGGATGAGCTTTCTTGAATGGAGTGGAAAAATGAATTCTTCAAACCAATTTTTTCAAAGTTTCCAAAAACAAGAATTTTTCAAGTCGATGCTAATTTTTTTTTTTATTTATAAGATAAAACTAAGTTATTATGATTTTTATTTATAATAATCTATAGAAAAATTTCTTAAAAGAAACCAAAAAAGATCAAGTTGACGGTAATTCGCAAAATTTTTTTGAAAAAATTCAAGTGCTTCAGTTGCTTAGATTGAAAAAATGTATTTAACCAAATTGATAATGAATAAATTTTGCAACATTTTCAGAAAATGAGTATTCATATGATACAACTATAATTTGTATGAATGTTAGTAATTTTTACTTTTTTTTTTTTGCGTTGTAAAGTTATAATGTACTGTTAAAAAAATAAGTTTTACCGTACTAAAATTTGACCTCACTTACTATAGGGTATTAGTTTCGCCCCTGCAGACAGAGAATGTGCCTTAAACACTAGTAGAAAATAAACTACACACTCTTTAACTCGAGTTGGTGGTGTTAACTATTAACTCCCTAGCTGGTTGGCCAATTAACTCCCGGTCCCAAGCTGAATTGGATCCAGAAGGCACCGAACAATGCAATAAAATTTGGTTAAAAAAATGGTTTAACCAGCCGAAATTTGTAAACAATGACGTAAAAGGAAAAAAAATTGTCATTCAAACAGCTGTAACTGTGAATTTACCTTTTTTAAGTATTAGTTAAACTTAATTAATTGGATTGAGATTCAATAGCCAACTGACCTCCGATAATGCAAGCACCGAGTATTGATATGCAAGTTGACTCTTGTTTCCTTCAAAGAAGACAGGCGAGTAATGTAGATGGAGAGGGAAGCCTTTCACTTGATGGATGATGCTTTTGTCATATTGTCCTGTTCGGCTGTTCCCATCTGGTTATGGGACAAACATCTCCAAATCTAAAATCAACTAGTACTAGTCTACCACTGCAAACCAAAACTTTTGCCAGTTCTATTTTGGCAACGGAATGTTGGAGTTTCTCCACATATTCCCCATGTCCATATCTCATATAATTGTCACAAGCAGATGTATGTATCAGCCAATGATATGGTACAAGAGAAACATATGATATGGATGATCCCCCGACCCCAGAAGTGTAAAAACGAAGAATAATATCAAAAGAAAAAAGTAAAGAGTTGTAATTGTAACAGAGTGAGATGCTGCAGAGCAGTACAGCCATGATAAGTAAATTGAAGTAATTCAGGAATCCACCATAACATGCTCCTCTAAGACAGGAGGAGCACAAAGTAAACAAAAGAAGAAAATCATACAAACAGATTCTACATTCCTTTGTCATCTTCGTTTTTTTCTTTCCTGATTTAACTGGAAAATAATGCAACAAGGTCAACAGTAAGAAAGTAAGGCTTTGATCCTCGAGCCTCTAAGAAATGGCACCAGTTCAAGAAACCTTCCTGTCACCCGGTGTTATTGCGGAGAGGAGCTACCTGGTCAAAATCAACATCCATGACACAAGCATCCACTGAGCATCTAAAACAACTGTGAGATCCAATTTTAAAGATCATCCATTGGCAAAGACCGAATTCTCAAGACTTCATTCATCCTTGCCCCAGGAAAGACGATCTCAGCTTCACAGAATTCTGTACAAGTCAAGTTTGAGTGAGAATAGTTTGATGCACGCCATCACTTAGCTGTGAAAAGGAAAAGGGATAGATGGGAAAATATGTGCAGGCACATCATCATCTCATTTTCAATGCTTTTACCAGCCAATAATAGTGGCTGTCTTTTCAGTTATTAGTAGATCAAACAAAGTTATCAAGAGCCCTTACAATTGAACCCTCAACCATTGTGAAGGTTGATAGGGGTAATGAGTACGTATCCAGACACAAAATTCATCAGTAAAAACAGTGACCGTCCTGAGGCAGCATATATTTTGATAATGATATCTCAATTATATAGAAAAAACAATTTTGTGAGTATATGACACACAAACTGTTCCAATGGTTGAGATGGCAACTCTGTGAGTCTTCACGAAACCTTGGTGCATTCCTTGCACCAAGAATCATTTTATGGCCAAACGCCTCACTGCAAGCCATAATACAACTAGCCTTCTACAATGCACCTTAGCCTATGTGAAGAGAGAACAGGAGTTCAGTTCAAGAGCCTGAAGTGGCACTAGCTTGAATCAGCAACAAGTTGATCATCTAGCAGTAAACCCACAAGAGTCAGGTTGCATCTTAGTTTGACCATTAAATCAAATTATCATCTCTTGTAAATAACTTGAGCTAAAAATATCATCCTCCCCATCTGCTCTGACATAAGCATCAGAGACCCCGACTAATTTATAAAAATACTCTACTTTCTAAGGGAAAGAGAATATAGCTGTAGGCTGACCTTTACCAATATTACATTTATTTAGAAAGTCACTTTTTTGGATTGCTTTTAGAATGTCACAATACCTTAGACAATTAGATATAAATGGTATTGAGGAAGAAAAATTTTATTCAAGCATTCAACAGCAACCATGTAATTCTATACAACCCCCGATGGAATCTTTCTTTAGCAGTGCTCCACTAGTTGTCCGACAGGCATGGCAGTAGGAAGAAACATAGCAAATTCTGCGATTCTGCCCTTTTTAACAAAAGGCCTTACCATAATTTTGCTCAGTTGATGCGAGAGAGATTATATCCTTCCAGATGCTTCATCAAATATATGCCATTCAACCCTCAAACAAACTGTGGGCTTGTTCTCAACAGCTGTAGATAAGCTACATGCAGCTTATTTGAAATTGAATCTTTTAACCTTGGAAATTTGATGATGACATTGAGTAAATGTTTTTGCCATCACATTTTTAAAAAATTGAGTAAATGTTTTGAGAAGCTAAAAGCCAAGGCCTGTTTTCAGAATCAGCTTTTACTAATTTGGAAAAGAAGCTGCTTGTGGCTCATACAATAAGCTGTTGAGAACTAACCCTGTATAGGAAAAGGTCAAACAAGTATGTACAGGCAACCTAAGAGCCCATCCAAGCATGTACAGAAGTTTGAAAAACCTTTTTTCTCTGGGAGAAGCTACAAACAAAATAGTCACCCTCGTTTCTCACTTTGTTCGATAACTGTAGGGCTTTTCTATTCATGTTCTCCCCATATTGAAACCTTGTAGCCCCATTGGTACCATGTCCATGCTTTGCCTTTACTCATCTGGCAACTTCTCCAGCAGATTGAAGGGCCTCTAGAACCATTAACTGCTCGAGCAAAAAATGCTCAACAACAAACACCAAGGTTCACCTGGCACATTGCAAGAAAGGAAGTGCATCTTCGCCCCTATTTTGAACAAAAAACTCTCACGATTATGGGCTCAACTTCCAACTTCTACAATCAACAGTAGTATTAAATTCCAGAATTTATAGTCTTGAATACCAGTCATGTCAACAATTGTTGCCAGTGCAGACACAAGGAGATGTTGAATAAAAGCCAATACTGTCTCAAGAAATTTTTGAAATCTCTCAATTCTACAACTGGTGTTCAGTTTTACAGATGCCATTTGCCAGTTCAAGAAGTCATGCCAACCTTATGCAAAGCTTTGTGAATGCTAACTGCACAAACCAATCACTCAGAAGTGTCCAACCTAGGCTAAAGAAAAGCACATTATGGTCCGCATCTGATTCCTCAGAAGTACATCGAAAGAAAATGCTGAGCAGAGTCAGATCAAAGACATCAACGATTAAGCAGAAATTATTGTTGTCAAACTAAATCAGAAAATTACTCTTCCATTAAATTCTCCAGTTATAATTTTTTGAAAAGAAAATATTCGAAGCAATTGAACACCATCCACTTGATACAGCAACGTCAACATCAAAATATCTTGACTTCTTGTGCCAAGCCCTAAAAGGAATCAAGAGAAAGACACAAAGACCCACACAAAGATCTTAATCGGTTCACTTCCCTTCTCCCCTTATGAATTTTCTCTAGATCTTTTATGCCAAAGAATAAAATAGAGAAGAAAAGATCACCAATGCTTGACAACTCAAGCATGCAAAATTGCGCATAACTTGTTTACTATGAGATTAATTAATTGGAAAAAAATTACGAACGAGTTAGTTGCTCTTTCAAGATTTGAATTGTACACTACACATAACGACAAAAGCAATCATCACCAAACAAAAGCAAATCTCCAAAAATTTACTTTCCCTTGAGCCAATAACAAATTCACCCAGCTGAACTACACTTAATCTTCTTGCATGGTCTAACTGTACTTTAAACACAAAATTTGGAGAGAAACCTAAAAATGACAGACAAATGAATATAAAGAGACTGGTTATGAAACCATGCCGCCTACTTCCCTAATGAAACACGCAACCATATTTGCGGCAAAAGATATGTTGCCCATATAATGGACACCACTTGTCATAAAGCAACAAATCTTCCCCCAGGGCTATTGTTCAACCACTCAAATTTTTTTAGATCCTGCCATCTCTGGACCAATATAAATGTGCACGTGCTACGGCTTCTTTGGCAAGTCTTACATTAAAAAAAAAAATCCATGCACATATACCAATAAGAAAATTAAACGCTGCATATTTACAAACAACCACTCCGCAAAAATACAAACATGTCAACGACGATTCTAATATCTCTGAAGGAAAGAAGAATGCACAAATGTTTTTCTGGTGACTGACTCTCCTCACAAATTGTGAGGACAGAGGCTAATTCAGTAGAAATCACTATAAAACAAGAAAAGTCCAATCAGAAATTTATACACAAGTACCACATTAACAGGTGAAAACAAATCACCATATACACCAAGAACTTGACGTATTTTTTCCCATTTACTTCTACATGTATTCAGGAAATAATACAAGCGAAAGCTCATAAAGAGAAAGCACATAAATTTTAAAGAATTGTCTTCCTTAAACAACCAACTTCCTAACCCATAGGCCGAACATATAAACAAAAGCAGCTATAAATAAATATAATGATTCACACATTCAAGAACAAACTCTAACATATCATTGGAACATATTTAAATAAGAACAACCATTTTATCCATTGTCAAACACCCCAAAAGAAAAAAGAACAAAAAAGTGATAAATGATCTGGACAATACCTTCACCCACTGGAACTCGGGCGAGCCCCACTTGAACCGGGTCGGGTCGTGAAATTCATTGCCTCAGGTTCAGCACCAATCCTTCTCATCCTCTCATAGCCGCCTCCAGATTTCGGTCTCCCTTCCTCACCGTAATGATTCGGAGCTCCAAACTGCCCTTTTCCTCTTCCACTGCCTAGTCCACCCTTCACAGCCTCGGGTCCAGGTAGCTTCGCCTCCCGGCCCGCAAAACCCGGTCTAAGATGTGGCGGCACAAACCGGTCCGATTTCAACAACGGCGCGGTCAAAGGAGAAGCGGGTTTCCCGGGAGACGGCAAAGGAGACAAAGTGACGGGTGAACCGGATCCGGTTCGACCCTGCGGACGCAGCGAGATGTTATCCGGTTCAGATCCGGTTTGATCTGGAACTTTATCCGGTTTCGTCAAAGCTGGAGTTTTCGGAGCTGGGTTCTGCGGAACAACGATGGGTTTCGGTTTTGGAGTAGCGGGTTTGCTCAAAACAAGCATATGGCCATGGATTCTTGAATTTGAGATTATGGTTTTATTGGGACTTGTCAAAGATGAGGCTGACGATGAAAGAGAAGATGACGGAGAAGGAAACGATGATGAAGAAGAGCTGTTATTGCCTACTTTTTTCTCATAGATGTCATTGAAGTTAATAGAGGAATATTTATTGGTTCTTGCCATCCACCAACTCCGCCGTTGCCACCGCCTAAAGCCACCGTGTATGGAGGAGGTGCAGAGGTGTTATAGTTATACAATGGGAGAGAAAATGAAGAAGAAAAAATGGTAACGTAAGAGGTCTAGGACAACGTGTAGTAAGTTGCTGTTTTATTGTCAGCTGGTTTTGAGAAAAATAGTAATTATTAATATTTAACTAAAGTTAAAAGTGGTTCTGATCGTAAATGGATTATCTAATTAATTAACCACTTTTAAGCAAGGTTCCATTCCATAATGATTAACAAAACCTAGTATTAATTGTGTCATGTTGTCCAAAAAATTGGGAGGCATTTGGCCCAAAAAAGTGATATAATGTCCAAATTTCACCTAATAAGAGTATAGTGAGTTAGCAATTTTTAGATTAAGCAATATGAGCCATCTATTATTATCTGTCCATTTCATCTAGAGGTTTTATATAATTAAGGATAGAGGTTTCTTTTATACTAATTAAAGCTAATTTTCTTTCACGGTTGAGATTTCTGATCTAAAATTTGTAGAAGTGAATATCTGAACTGTCATCTGTCAAATGAAAAAAAAGTTAAATTGGTAAGAAATAAATAGTTATAAGAAGATAAAAGTTTCATACGTGCCTCATATTTCCTTTTTCTAGAAAAATTACAAGAGAGATAAGAAATAGGAAAGAATGAAGTGTGATTAGGAAAAATTCTGCAAAGGGTGCATTGGAAAGGTGGATTAGTGGAGATGCCACAATTTTGGACTTTATACTACAAGCATGGATGGATAGTCACTTGTATACAATATCTTATTTAAGTGTGCAAAGAAAGTTGTACGTTTTAACAAAAATAACCGCAAAATAATGGGAGATTTTAGGTTCTAATCGCCTTTTCCCTCTCATACTTTCTAAATTCCACCACTCCTTTATTTAAAAAAAATCAAATATAAAGTGCAAATAACTTTCCTAGTGTATAACTGAAATTATGCCTCTTTATGAATTAAGATTCCAAACGAATCCTTTCACAAAATATTTATAAAAAAAAAAAAAAAATCCTTTCATATGCTAATGCATACCAATTTTAGTAGATTATTCTTGAGTACATTATACTTTTATCATCATCTTTATAAGTGAAAAGGTTTAAAAAATTATGATTAATGTAGTTAATTTCCTTTCAAAAAAACTACAAATTGGATTTCAACGTGTTCAAAATCTCCGGTTTGAATTGTTTGGATAGAGTGTTATTTGGAATAATTATTGTAGCACTTTTTGTGATGTGACGTATGTGAGATAAAAAGGTGGTTGGAAATATGAAAATGTGAGTTGGAAAATGTTGGAGAAATCTGCTATCCAAACACTTCTAATTGTCAAAAAAAAAAAAAAAAGAGTAAGCCATTCACCATAGCCTCTAGCAAACTACAGTTACAGTAAGACTTCCCCTACAATGACAAATTAGATAATGGTGATTAACCAAGTTAATGACACAAAGGTTAATTTAGAGAAAATGTCTTGGTGAAAGTCAAGCTTAATGGCAAAAATTAGTAGCTAATGTGGAAATAAATTTAGATGCTTCTTCATTCCATTTTTTTTTCCCTGAATAATTCGGTGCTTCACGAAGCTTGTTTTGAGTCATAATATGCTAACAAAAATAAGAGATCCGCATACAATTGGTGTTTCAGTCAAAGCTAAACTAGTGCACTCACTTCCAAAGCCACTTAAAGATGTAGTGTATGATCTTGGGATTAAGTGGATCTAATTTCTACGACGCAATTTGCTTCAAGAATTTGTGGAATTGCATTTATTACAAGCATCTGAAACAAATATTGATCATTGTAAGTACACCAATAAAGTAAAAAAAATCTTTGCAAAATCAGATAGATACAATGTACAAAACAATGAAAACAGAGGTAATTGCCGAAGAAAAGAAACAATGGAATACAGATTGAAAATATGCAGAGATATATAAGGTCTAAATGCCCAGCTCAAGCAACTTATACCACGAATCCTTGTAGCCAATCAGACCTCAGAAGTATATATTTTCGTATCTCTCCTCCTCAAAACAGCACCCCCATGCAAAGCAACCAAAGCCCTGAAATCAGACTCAAGCCAACAGTCGTACTTTTGGCATCACTTTTAGTAGAAGGCGTTTCTGCAGTAGTATTTCCATCACCAGAACCACTCCTGGTTGAGTTCAAAGTTGGTGGAGATGAGACAGGAGCAGAAGCCTTGGATTCATTGAATTCCATTGGCCACATAACCTTATCTAATTGATAAATAGCCAAAGGAAATTTTCCCCTCACAACATTATAGATTGGAGTGTTAACCGTCCCAGATGATACATTGACTTGGTTTTGGTTGGTTTGGCCGGTGAAATTCAGGCCGAAAACGCCCCCATCTTGGCCGGAAGCTTCGGTTCTGACAGGGTTGCTGACTGTCTGAAGACTCGTTAAGGTATAGTATTTAGGTATAACGTGGTACTGAATAAGTTGAACTTTTTGTTGCTCTGAAAGCTTGTTGAGTGCACCTGCTGGGAGGTTTTGGAATGCATTGTCTGTGGGTGCCAAGAGAGTCATTCCGTCATGGGAATTGTTGAGTTGGTTGTCGATTTGATTGCCTCCTTGTGTCTCATCCAGGAGGCGAATTAAAGTGCTGAATCCGCCAGCTTTGTCAAGAATGCCGGTTGTGTTGATTGGCCCTTCTGGGGCTGGGGCTGGAGCTGTGGAGGATTGAGCATTGATGCGGAGGAGGAGGAGGAAGAGAAATGGGGCGAGTGCCAGGAGTTGAGAGAGAGCTGTTTGAGCCATTGTGGTTGTGGTGATGGGCAAGAAACGGATTGATAGGAGATGGGGTTTTATGGGATAAGATGTAGAAGTTTGGCTGGAATGAGCTGGCTATGGATTTGAATCAAGACAAATCCTTGTTAGAAAGAGAGAAATGGACATCTAAAAAAAATATATAATATGGTAGAAATATCAGCTCAAGATTGGATCAACACCACTTGTAATAGTCCATCAACTAGTGATCATGCAAATTTCAACGCACAACCACGTCCAGAGCACTATTAAGAGGTCTAAATTAGCACAATTATGGATCGTTGATTGAATAATACTTTTGATGGTGACTGCATTCGTTGAAGTTGGATACATCAAACACTTCAGTCGTATTGCTATAACAGATAAAAAGTTACAAACAATTTAACTTGAGAATGCTTCAACACAAGTTTCTGATCATCTAACTGTTGAATGATGCTAGTAGTATTTTTTTTTCTTCTCAAATGCGCATTTGGAAGCCTTGGCAGACGTCGAACGTGCAAATTCCCATGTTCAGTAGACAAAACCCACAGCCACAGGGATGAATATTTATATTCATCAAGGGGCGCATGTTCCATAATTCTACTGCATATTATCCTCAAGCTTCCGGTCAATGATTGCACATCAGAGTTGTATAAATTTGAGGCTGGCGATAAACTGTACATGATCTGGACCCAACAGCTTTACCAACTCTAGTTCAGACATCAGGGGATAGAACATGGGATTTAATCAAGAAAAGAATATGCAATGTAGAACTTTTGACAGACTGGCCTTAAACATGGCATATGGGCTATGGCTATCTGCTCAAAAGGCATGGCTTCAACCACTAAGAACATTTTCAGTTTTATAATGCCTATGATTGATCTGTCTACTTGCTTTCTGATTTGTTCTATTTTGAGCATTGGTCCACTGGTGTCATACATCCTCTGCTATTATATTCATTCCCTATCAGCCATCTTGCTAGTGGCCAATGTCTTATTGCTCAACTGGTAAAGATTTGAGCCTTGAGTTAGGAGCACTCTTGTCTTGAGTCTTCTTCATTAGTAATAATATGTAAGAATTACTGTAAACTTGCTAGTGCTCATTTAGCCTTTTTCTAAACTTCAAACATCATGACCGATGCACTGTACAAAAAATTAGAACCCATGCACACTACAATTTTTTAGAACCAGTTACGGAGGCCTTGTTTTCAGCTGTTTTAGACTTTACAAAATTTGATTACAGAAACTGATTATAAAGAATAATCAGAATCAGTGAAAGCTATTTTTTAGGTGATTATAAAATTCAACTTTTTTATCATTAAAAAAATCTATAACCAGAATACAAAAATATTCGAAGAATCACAAAAAACTGATGGTACAAAATCAAAATCTATAATCAGTTAAAACAATCAACCGAGAACAAGCCCAGAATAGGGTTGGTGACAAAGATTGTCCGATTTGAATTTTGTATGTTACTATGGATGTGTCATGTAATGACATACGTTAATTTTTATATTGTACATATTTTGTGGTGTAATTGAGACTTAAAATTAGAGATCAAGAACTAGAGGCTGGCACACACTAATGAAGTCACAAATTGAATTCATACACTAGTCTTCTGTTCATGATCTTATGTATGATGATCAGTCTTGAAATGAATGCAATTGAAAGACTCCAATGATGCCTCTACAGTATAGACTATCAATAATTCCACTATTATACAAGCAAGTAGAGGACGTGATGGATTTCCATCATCTTAATTACAACATCAAAAACACCTCATTTTTAAGAGATGAATTTTTAATGGGGGAAATTTTTTGAGTTTTTTTTTTTTTGAATATTTCCTTAATTCATTTTTCATTTACATTTTTATGTTACGTACATCACATTTCAAAAAATACTACAATGATTTTATTTTTTATCTTTTTTTTACAAAAACTCTTTCAAAAAAGACAATGGAAATATCCTCTTAAGTTCTCAATCATCACCTTGTTCGTTTTGTAATTAACTTTAACAGGATAAAAAGTAAAGAAAATAATAGAAAAGAAAGAGGTCTAATTCATTGCCGAAAGTGGATGACTAAACAGGAAAATATCGTCTTGTTCATATGTTCATCAGCTCAAGTGTCTCTTTCATGTCTAATAAAAGCTTCCACCTAAGCGTTCGAATAATTCAAAGAACAAATAATGTAGCTTCGGAAAAGCTATAGCTACAATGAGTTCTTTTCATTCTTCATCTGTCAATTTCTTTGTCCCATTTCCGATGTAACGCATTCTCCACTTAAATACAATCATGATTTAATGTTTTTTCTTTTTCCAATTCTCTCCACTATATTAAGGTAATGGGAGTGAAGGGGAAAA